CAAATACCACATGATTTTACTGTTATGTGGAAATTAAAGAACAATATAAATGACCAAACAAAACAGAAACAGACTCATAGATACAGAGAACAGACTGGTGGTTGCCACAGGGGAGGGTTTTGGGGGACTGGGTGAAAAGGTGAAGGGACTGAGAAGTACAGATTGGTAGTTATAAAACAGTCATGGGGATGTCAAGTACAGCATAAAAATTTAGTCAATAATATTGTAATTATGTATAGTTTCAGGTGGGTACTGGAAACGTCATGGGGAACACTTTGTAAAGTATATGATAGTCTAACCACTATGCTGTACACCTGAAACTAATATAAAATAATATTGTATGTAAACTATAATTGGAAAAAAATTTTTTTTAAAGAATATAACTTCTGGAGATAGACAACCTGTGTCCACATCCACCCTGTACTAGATTATGTGACCTTGGGCAAATTAACCTCTTTGGGCCTCAGTTTTCACATCTGCAGAATGGAGATAATCATAGTATCTACCTCGTAGAATATTTAGAATCAATAAGTTAGCACTGTAACATGCTTGGAACACTGGCTAACATGTTAGCTATTAATATTAGTATAAATATATATTTTACTAGAATATAAGGGTCTAAAAGGCAGGGCAAATTTGCATCTCAATCCCTAGCATAATAGAACATTCACTGTTTATTGACTATTACCAGGTAGTTTGGGTGGGTTTGGTTATAGATCCACATTTGCTGGTCATTCACTTAGTCACTCAACACTATTTCTTTCTTTTTTTTCCTCACTCGAGTACAGTACATTTTTTTTTTTTTTCATTTATCTTCAGATAGAGCAGGAGGAAGAGAGGGGGAAGAGAGAGAGAAACATTGATGTGAGAGAGACACATCGACTGGCTGCCACCCATGACCCTTTGGTCTGAGGGCCAACACTCACTGCTGAGCCAAACTGGCCAGGGCTAGGGCGTGTGCATTTGTTCGATAGGTAGTGACTCCAAATCCAGTGTCTGATAAACCAGTTCTTCATGATACCTACACTCTTGATGGTCTTTTCTTTTATTTTTTAAATTTTTTATTTATTTTTATGTTACAGAGTTTCTCCTTTTTTACCCCATTGGTACCCCCCTCCCCACCCCACTCCCACTCCATCCCCGGCTTTGTTGTCCATGTCCATTGGTTATGCATACATGCATATAAATGCTGTGGTTTATCTCTTCCCTCCCCCCACCCCCTCTTCCTTTTCAATGGAGGCTTTTGGAATGCAGGGCTTTTTCAGTCTCCAGGTGGACTGAATCTCACATTGATTCTCTCTGCTCCACTCTGCTCAGAATTCCTTGGCATGAATGGCTTCATCAGTGTGGAGAAAATGACCAAGAAAGTAAACAGCTTGGAAATCAGTACAAGAGGAGATTTTACTGGCTTGGGACAAAAGCCCTCAATTATTTAAAGGGGTGTGATGTGAAGGAGGAATTATGTTTCTTCTTGTGGGCAGAGGTAGATTTACCATGAAGATAATCAGGTTTAAGTTTTAGAGCTCCTTATTTGCGTGGGCTCCTTCTAAGACCCCGTCCCTAATTTTGAATCCTTAAATTTGTGTTATTTCACTTAAAGAGACCCTCCCCCCACAATTGTATGATTTTCAGAACTCAAAAAATCTGGATCTACCCCTTTGTGTGTGGCTCCAGAGATCAAACTAGGGGATAGCTAGGAAATCTAGGGTGTGGATGTTAATTCAATAAAGAAAAATCTTTCCATTGGCCAGAACTATTCCACCAAAAAGGGGGTTATTGTGATAGGCACCCTCTTTAGCCTACCCATAGTCATTTTTCCTAGCAACACTGCTTTCTTCCTGCTTATAGGACTTGGATTCGTTCAAGAAGTTAATGGAGAGCCCTTGATTGCAGAAGAGCAGGCTCTTCCCTGAGCTCCATGAGTGAATTATGATTGGTTTAAATCAGTGACAGCATTCTCTTCCCCAATGGCCAATAATTAGTCTAAGTATGGGCAGGTAATCTAGTTCTGACCAGTGAGACAGGTGGTGGGACTTCCTTCCCTGAACTAAAGGACAAAGCTTCAGGAAGAGAAGGTCTTTTCCCCTTTCCTTTTCATTTCTGAAACTCAGATAAGAGAGCAGGAGCTACTGCAGCCCTCCTGTGGCCAGTAGGCTAGAAGCAGAAACACTCAAAATGCCAAGGATGGCAGTACAGAGAGAGTAAGAGTTGAGGATTCTTATAGCATTGTTGAGGAGCTGAACCAATACTTTGAATTGCCTATCTCTAGATTATTTATATGAGAAAAAAAAACTCCTTATTTGGTAAAGTACTGTTAATTGTTTCTCTATTACTTGCAGCCAAATGTATTTTTACTTAATTCAGCTGTGTTCAAGGAGAGCAACTTCTCTGTCTCTGGTGGGAGTTAATTAGCGGGTTAATTGACCACAAAACAGAGATGTTGCAGATGTCATGTCCGGGAGAGGATTTGGGAAAGTGATAAATTATTGTTAGGAATAATCTCACCTGATTACATCACAGAAAACTTCCTATAACTTGGGTCCTTAGGTTTCATTTTTCCTCCCCCATGTCTTCATTTATTCCTCAGCCTGTAACCATCTTTCTCAACAAATTTCTCTCACCTTGTCCACAGCCTCCCTCAACCTTATCCTTGACAGGAGGTAAGAGTAAGGATTGAACAGAAGAGAAAAAGAAGACATTTTCTCCAAACTGGTGTGCTATGCAACAATTTAGGACAATGAGATACATTTATAAGAACCCATACATAAAATATAATAGTTTAATGTACCTATCTACCAGCTTCAATCCATGGCCCTTTCTTGTTTCATCTATATGTCCAGTTTCCCTCCCTCCCACTATCATCATCATCATCATTGCTTTTTTGAGAGAAAGGTGCAAAGGCGACCTCCAACAATTCCTCCCATCTCTGTATCCCCATGCTATTCTTTCCATGAGAGATGGTTGCACAACTTTGTGAATATACTAAAAGTCATTGAAGTGTACACTTCAGTTTTTTCAATTATTGGTTTTAGAGAGAGGTAGGGAGAAAGAGAGAGAGAGAGAGAAATATCGATGTAGGAGTGAAAGAGTGATTGGCCACCTCCTGCATGCACCCCAGCCCGGAATAGAACCCTCAACCTAGGTATGTGCCCTGATGGGGAATTGAACCTGCCACCTTTTGGTGTACAGGACAACTCTCCAACCAACTGAGTCACACCAGCCAGGGCTGAAGTGTGCACTTTAAATGGGTGAACTGTATCAATGTGACATATTTTAATAAAGCTATTTTTTAAAAGTTGAGAATGAAAAATTCTCTCATACTATTAAAAGAAAAACAAAGTGATGGAATCTTGTTTCCACCCCTCTTGGAACAGTTTGGCAACAGAAGTGACATTGTGTGACTCCTGGGCATTTCTTTCCACAGGCCTCGGAGCTGCAGTTTGCACTCGTTCAGAGGCCTGTGCCACCCCAAAGACGGAGCCAGAAAGAGAGGCCCAGGCTGAACTGGGCCTTCGGTCCGCTGCTGCCACGCCAGCTGAGACACCTACCACACAAACGAGTGAACCATTTTGGCAACCTCAGTTCCTGTTGAGCTGCCCTAGCCAACACTGCGGAGCAGAGACCGGCTGTCCCTGCCAGACTGGACTACTAAGTTTTGGGATGGTGGAGAACCGGGGGTGCCAAATGCCCGGAAGGGGCTCAATGATTATTGGTCTCTTTTCATTTCAGCCCGCAGGGCCTCCACCTAACCCTCCAGTGCTCCCCACTGCCCTCGGAGCTCTCATCAGGGCAACAAGGCCCTGCACCGCGTATCCCTCGCCTCTGCCTTGTCATCTCAGGCTCTTCTCTGCGCCCTCACCTCCAGCCACACTGGCTCGGGAACAGGCCAAGCACATACAGGGCTTTGCTGTCCTCCCTCTTCCCCGGGAGGTCCCAGGGCCAGTCCTTTACCTCCGTCAGGTCTTCGCTCAAATACCTTCCGATTTAGACCTTCCTCCTTACCTAGCCGGTCTGTAAAAAATTACCACCCTCTCATTCCCTATCCCCATTCTCTGATTTAAACGTTCTCTTTTATTATTTAATAATGCCTAACATAGTACTTAATAGATTTTTCTCATTTGTCTCCCCTGCTAGTGAGAGGGATTTTTTTTTTTTTATCCTCACCCGAGGAATTTTTCCACTTTTTGTTCAGATAGAGCGGGAGGGAGAGAGAGGAAGAGAGAGAGAAACATCGACGTGAAAGGGACACATCGAGTGGCTGCCACCCGCACGACCCACCAGGGCCGGGGACAAACTGCAACCGAGGCACGAGCCCTTCGCGGGAACCGAACCGGGTCTCAGGACCGCAGGCCGACGCTCCAACCGCTGAGCCAATCCGGCCAGGGCTGAGAGATTTTATTTTATTTTTTTATGTCTTCTTTATGCGTTGTATCTCGAGTCTAGAACACAGCCTGGCCCATGGTAGGCACTTCTACAAATTGTCTGTAGGCAGAGAACGGATGAAAAGGTCCCCTTGTCACAGAGGACCTCCCTGAAACACTATGTTAAATACGAATCTCCTCCTACCCGGTCTTCATGATACTCATTAGCATGTCGAATGTATACGTTTACAGTCTTTCCCTACTAGAGTGAAGGCGCCTTCATCTGCTGAATGAACTGATTTCTTGAACGAACGAACGAACCGAGCAGCACCGGGAGCCGCCTTGGTGGCGGGACTAATTGAGGGTAGCTGCGGGCCGGCAATCCCTCCGAGGAGGCGGCGAGGCTGGGTTTCCGCCGCGCCTCGTTAAACCAGCCGCGGTGCCCGCCCCCCCAGCTCTGGCTCGACGTCGGGAAGGCCGGGCATCGCCCCTTTAAGCCGAGTCTCGCCCAGCCCGGCAATTTCCGGGGCGGGGTCACTGCCCATTTAGGAGCGGTGCGTCCCGCCCCGCCTCCGAGGGCGGAGCTGAGGGGGACTTTAAGGGGCGGGTCGGCGGGCAGCCGGGGTCCTCCGGGGGATTAGCGCAGTGTGGGCTCGCGCCTCAGGCCGCCATTTCTTGGCATCTCCCGAGGGTCGCCCCTACCTCAGCCTCGCTCGGTCGCCGCTGCGCCGTCGTCCCAGCCCAGGTAAGCGCGAGGCCCGGCGGCCCCGCCGCCCTGCCCGTGCCCGGCTGGCTGCACGCCTGCTCCCCTCAGCGCCGGACCGTCCTCGCTCGCGCCGGGGCTCTGCGCTCGCGCCGGGCGCCGCGGCCTCGCCCCGGGACCCTGGTGGCTCGGAGCTTCCCCGCCCAGCCGGCAAAACATTAAACCCGCCGAGAGGGGAGGGGCGGCGGCGGCCAATGGGGCAGGGCCGCCGAGTTTCGGGCGACACCGCGCCGCGCGGCTAGAGCGGGGCGCCCGGGGCGCAGCCGGTTTCTGTCGCCGGGACCGCCTGGCTGGAGCCTCCGGAGTCGCGGGCGCGGGGTGGCGGGCGCGGGCGGGGGGCGCGGCGCCCTGCACCTGCGGTCGGCGCTTAGCCTCCTAGCTGGCGGCGGATGCGGCAGGTCAGGGGAGAAACACACCTGGAGTTTGTCACGGTTTATGACAAAACCCGAGCACACTTTGGGAGCTGATCTGCGTTCGACTAAAACTTCGGCGCTGGAAGAGGCAGAGGCAGGTGTGCGCCCGGGAGGCGGGGTCTCGGGCCCTCCCCGCCCCCACCCCGCGTTGGGCGTGGTAACGCGTTCTCTGGCGTGTAAACAGGGGTTGTATTTGTCACTGTCTTTATGGTGACCGAATCTCATGAATTCTACTCAAGAGCAAGAGAACCAACTCTTTTAAACCGTTTGACAACATTTTACCTTAATATCAGAACTATTTTTTTTAAGAATTAGGGAAACAATGACCCATTACTCGTTGGCTAGCATGGCTAACACGCTGTTGAACCCGACCTAACACAGTAGATTATTTGTGCATGTAAACTGGTTTGCAGGGTTTTACTGTCTTTCTTTTCTTTTTGTCCTCACCCAAGGATATTTTTCCATTCATGTTTTTAGATAGGGTGAAGGTGGGGGGAGAAAGGGAAATACATGGACTGGTTGCCTCCCACAGAACCCCTACCGGGCCGGGCGTTGAACCTGGAACCCAGACAGTGCTCCTGATCAGGAACCCAGCCCGACTCTCCGGGTTGAGGGCCGATGCTGCAACCGCTGAGCCAGACTGGTAGGGCGTAGTGTCTCTGTAGGTAAACTTCATTAGAACACGAGCTGTACAGTATAACTTGTGTTGAATTGTTCTCTTACAAATGAAAAGTTCGCTCACAGTCTCCTACAGGAAAGTATTTCGGGATTACTGGGACAAGAGAGACTAATATCTTTATGGCACTTAAGATATATCGGTAGAGTGCTTTATTAAAAAGCAATTGCTGCCCTGGCCGGTTTGGCTCAGCGGTAGAGCGTCGGCCTGCGGTCCAGAGAGACCTGGGTTCGGTTCCGCTAAGGGCATGTACCTCGGTTGCAGTTTGTCCCCGGCCCTGGTTGGTTGTGCAGATGGCAGCCATTCGGTGTGTCCCTTTCACTTCGATGTTTCTCTCTCTTCCTCCTCACTCTATCTGAACAAAATATGGAAAAATGTCCTCAGGTGAGGATAAAAAGGAAAAGCAATTGCTTACCACAGATTGTGGCCACCAGTCATTTATGAAAATATATAATTTCATGACAAACTTTTGAGTTTTAGATATGTATATAAAAAGACTAATTTAGGTAGTACAAAGGTAATTTTTATTTTTATTTTATCTTTTAATTAATTAATCATTTTATTACAGATGACCCTCCTTTTCCCCCCAGCAATTTATGATTGTAAAGGAAACCCTTCTTGGTAGTTTACTGCTGAAAAATTAGACACAACAGATTAAACACTAGTATTTTTTTAAAAAAACAACCACCACCTACCATCCAAAAATTCCACTGTATCATTTGTGTCAGACAAGTTCTTAAGTGCTTAGTATGCATATTGTTGTGTTAGCCAGGTCATCCTGTGAATGAGTCAGGATGGGTCCCTGTCCTTGCGTCTTTGGTGAAGTACCCAGTAAAAGAAGTAATTGGACAATTGAATGTTTAATTATAGTTTCTTTAAGGGTTACAAAGAAAAGGTTGAGGGTACTAAAAGGAGCACCTAATTTAGACTCAGGAGTCAGGAATGTTTTTCTGAGGAAAAGACATTTCAACCAGAAACCTGAAATTAGCCATGTGAAGTAGGAGAGGGTGGGGGAGTGTGATACAGATGGAAAAAGAGCATTCCTGAAAGATGGAACAGATAAGGAGAAAAAAAGACCCTGGGACTGAGCAGAAGGGGTACTAGAGCTGAACCAGCAGCTGGCAGTGGCCTGCCAGGAGGGATCAGCTAGGTGTTGAACCTGGACCAGGGAGCAAGTACATTAAAATTTTTTAAGCAGGAATCAGATTTATGGTTGCAAACAATTCACTGCTGCAGCATGAAGAATGTAAGTGGGAGGTGGGGGATGGGAAAGGAGTGAATATGGGAAAACTTTTTTTAACAATAAAAATTTAAAAACTCTTTTGATTTGCTCATATATTCCTATAGAAGATTTTAACTACCACCACATGATTCTCTCCAGAGATAACCTCACTTACCAGTTTGCATGTCCTTCTAGTCTTGTGTGTATTTGATGTAAATAAATAATGTTTGTATTCCACCTCAGTGTGGGATAAAACTGTATTCGTTTTTCTCTTGATTTCATTTTTCAATTATAAATTGTATTTGTACCTAAGATCTACTGTCTTTTAAGAACAGCTATGTTATATGCCATAGTATGTACCATAATTTAACTTGCATATTGATGAACATATTTAAAGTTTTCTTAAGTTAAATATACCCTGAAAAATACCAGTTTCTACAACTTGAAGCATGTGTGGGACTCTTTCTTTAGGATATCCTACCAGAAATAGAATTGCTGAGTGAAGGGTATGCACAAAATCTTGTTAGCGTTGTCAAATCCTCCTCACAGGGAATAGTGGGGGACAGTGTATTTTTCCCATATCCTTTTCAACATTGGCTATCTTTAGTCTCTTAAATGACAGATAATATCTTATTTTTTAAATTTGGACTTTCTTGGTTAATGTTGAGGTTAAACATTTTTTAAATGAATATTTTCATTGCCTATCACCTTGTAAACTTTGTTTCTTCATATCTTACCCATTTGTTTTTCTGTTGGGTTGTTTATCTTAATGATTTGTGATAGTTTTCAATTAAACTGCATGTTAATCCTTCAGAAATATTTTCTGCAGAAAAAAATTTAAAAGCCCTTCATCTTAATACACTATTTGTTTCCTTTTAGTATTAATTTCTTTCACTTTAAATCTTTAGTTCATCTGAAATTTATTTTCATGTAAGTTGCTTTCATATTTTTGTAAAAAAGGACTTATTTGTGGAATTGGGTTTTATAGTTCAAAATACATAGTTATTAAAATTCTAAATCTGGAAGAAGCTGGTTAATTCTGTATAAGGGGTTTATTTTCAAGGTGTAGGATAAGTGAAAGTCAGAAAACTTGTCTTATAATTCATTTGCTTTCTAGGAACCTCAAAGTTGTAGTGCATTTTGAACATTTTTTTCCTTAAAAATTTTTTTTGATATGGAGAATTCAACATATACAGAAGAGTATAATAAACCCCATGTGCCCCTTATTTAGCTTCAACAGTTTTTGGCCAGTAATCTGGCTAATTTGTTTCATCTCTATCCCTACTTAACTCTCTTCCTTGTATTATTTTAATGCAAATACTAGACATCACATAATTTCTTCTATAAATATGTCAGTTTGTATCTTTTTTTTAATATATATTTTTTATTGATTTTAGAGAGAGGAGGAAGGAAGAGGGAGATAGAGATAGAAACATGTATGAGGAACTTTGGCGGCCTCCTGCATGCCCCCCACTGGGGATTGGGCCCATAACCTGGGCATGTGCCCTGACTGGGAATTGAACCAGTGACCTCTTGGTGCATGGGTCGATGCTCAACCACTGAGCTACACCGGCCGGGCTCAGTGTGTATCATGAAGAGATAAGGACTCTTAATCATTTAGGTTATTCTAAGAAAATTTATAAAGTTGTGTTTTTATCCAGTGGGAAAATGGAACAAGACATATCAGTGCAGTTGTTTCATATTAAATGATCTACTAAACAGTGGTGTTTGTGGCATAAAGTCACAGAAAATGTATCCATATCTTTTTCATATTTTTTCTGATGAGAGTATAACTTTGAAATAACATTTTCAGTAATTAAAAATTTAATACGTGAACCTGAATCAAAGCATTGTGTTTAAGTAATATCTGCTGTGTATAGTATTCTCATTAACATTAAAGAGGACACATTTTTAGAGGTTTACAAAAAAGGTAAACAGATCTTTAATACTATTATTTTATGTAAAATAAAAGTGGCAGTAATTCTTGGTTATCGTAAACTATCCAGTCAGTGTTCAAATGTGTGTTCAAATGTATGTGTGTAAAATTTATATCCTTTGAAAGTTCAAATGACAACTGTCATGATTTTGCCAGTTTACATAATTATATTGGAGTATACATACTTGTAAAAGGAGGATGTAATCCTCAATTTATAGCTATTGAATTATTTTTAATATGTTGGTGTTATGTTATTATTTTAGGTTTTATATTTGTCATGTTTACAAATGCATCTAGTTTAAAGTATCAACTTGTTAGGCAAGATTTTAATTATATATATGTATAACAACAAACGTGTCTTAAATATTTTCTTTTGAAATAAATTTAGACTTATGTAGAAGTTAAAACTATAGCACAGGGGTCCCATATACCTTTCACCTAGCTTTCCCCAATGATAACATCGGACAACTTAAAAAAAAGTTTATTTGAATTAGGATCATTTGTTGTTCTTGATGATGAAATGTGGCTAGTTATTCAAAGTAGGAATTATTTCCTCAAGTAGCTTACAGTAAAGGAGACAGGTATGCAAATGGATAATTAAAATCTAATTAGTGGCCCTGGCTGGTTTGGCTCAGCAGTTAGAACATCGGCCCCCGGACCGGGGAGTCGCAGGTTCGATTCCAGTCAAGGGCATGTACCTCAATTGTGGTTCGGTCCCAGCCCTGATTGGGGTCATGCAGGAGGCAACCAGTTGATGTGTCTCTCTCACATTAATGTTTTTCTCTCTCCCTGTCCCCTCTCCCTTCCTCCCTTTCTCCCCTCCCTCCCCCCCCCCCACTCTGTCTGAAGATGAATGGAAAAATATTCTCCGTGAGGATTAAAAAAATTAATTAGTGAAGCAGTAAATGTTTTCAGCGTTCAAAACTAACTGTTTCTCTGGGGAGATATGTATGGAGTTGTTGAGTTAATGGGAATAAGGAGCGATTCTCTGACAGAAATTTGGAATAACAAGTAATGACCTTTCACAGGCACCTGAAATGAGACTGGATAGCAAAGTACAAAGGGAGCAGTGCCTAAAAAAAACACCAGGAGAGACAGAGACTAGAGCCAGATGTTATGTATTAAACACTTTGTAAACTTGAAAGCTATCTTAAATTTTAGTTATTTCTTTGGAATCTAAGCAGATGAAGTACAAATGACAATTACCATGACTTTTCTAGCTTACCTAATTATGTAGGAATATCCATACATGTAATATGTGTACAATAACTTTAATTTATAGACACTTATTTTTTAATGCAATAGTATTTATTTAAAGTTAGCTTTTATTTTTATCAAGTTTACAAATGTATCTAGTTGAAAGAGTCATCTTTTTTTAAAAAATTTTTTTTCTTTATTGATTTTAGAGGGAGGGAGAGGGAAAGAGAGATAGAAACATTGATGAGAGAGAACATCAATTGGCCACCTCCTGCATGCCCCCCACCAGGGATCTGGCCCACAACCTGGGCATATGCCCTGACTGGAAACTGAACTGGTGACCTCTTGGTGCATGGGTTGACGCTCAACCACTGGGCCACACCAGCCAGGCTGAAAGAGTAAGGGGAAGGCTTCTTTAGAAAATCAGCACTCTCCTGAATTCACTCCCTCCTCAAGGCAACCACTGTCACTTTTTAAAAAAAAATGTGTTTTTATTGATGTTAGAGAGGAAGGGGGAGAGAGAGAGAGAGAGAGAGAGAGAGAGAGAGAGAGAAAGAGAGAAATATCTATGACAGGGAAACATCAGCATTGTTTGGCTGCTTCCTGCATGCCCGCTAATGGGGATTGAGTGCCCTGACCGGGAATGGAATGGAATCTTCGACCTCTTGGTGTATGGGTCAAAGCTCAGCCACTGAGCCACACCAGCCAGGCTCACATGTTAAATAACGTGTTGTTTTTGCTACTTCTTGATTTTTAGTTTTAAGAATTATCTGTTGAATTCCTACTAGTTAAGATGAGGAATTAGCTCTCTGTCCAAACCTACCTCTATTATTCCTTTCACTCAATTATAGTTACAGTTTGGTCAACATTTAATATTTATAGTATTATGACTAAACTATTAGCTGAGTCATGTAGTGTGTACTGTGATTACTTTCCCTTTTCTGCACAATATTTTTAAATTAATTTATTTTTGTTACCTTTTTCTTGTTTTCTCTGGAATGAAAAATTGTTTTGTTTGTTGGCTTAGTTTTATGTATTTATTATTCTCAAACTCTTAGTTTTGTAAATTCAACATTAGGTTAGCAAGGTAGTTTTTATGTTATTTCCATTTTATGTGTGCTATATTTTTTAAATTACAAATACCCAATTTAACTATTTTGATTAACCTTAATGTTCTTTTTTTTTTTTTAATCCTCACCCGAGGATATTTTTCCATTTTTTTGTACAGATAGAGTGGGAGGGAGAGAGAGGAAGGGAGAGAGAGAGAGAGAAACATCTACGTGAAGGGACACATCGAGTGGCTGCCACCCGCACGACCAACCAGGGCCGGGGACAAACTGCAACCGAAGTATGTGCCCTTAGCGGGAACCGAACCCAGGTCTCTCCGGACCGCAGGCCGACGCTCTAACCGCTGAGCCAAATTGGCCAGGGCAACCTTAATGTTCTGAATAGAGATAAGGAACACAGTAATATTGATTTGATATTATAAATAATTGTTTTTAATAAGTAGCAGTTTAAAATCTGTAATTGTAGAATATTTGCTAAAACATTTGAAATAAATTTGTATTTTAGTTGAAATAGGTGATTTTTAAAAAGTTTTTATTATGAAAGCTAAGAAGATAAATGGAGCTTCTTAGTATTTATATCATCAAGGGATACCATAGTGTCCTAATATTTATGGGGATATGGCTGTTGTACATATAATCTATTGATCCTAAAGACCTGATGAACTTCATAAATGTTTGCCCTCTCCTACCAGATCAGCTCCTTATAAAATAGTCCACTGTGTTTAGAAATGCTGTAAGCCATAGTTCTATTTTATATAAAGTCTTAAAAAACTTTGAATTGGCCTAGCTGATGTGGCCCAGTGTAATGAGCATTGTTCCAAGTGGTCACTGATTTGATTCCTGGTCAGGGTACATGCCTGGGTTGGGGGCTCTGCCCCCACTAGGGGGCATACAGGAGGCAGCTGATTAATGTTCTTTCCTCAGTGTTTCTCTCTCTCTCTCCCTCTCCCTTCCTCTCTCTCTAAAAAAAAAAACAAACAATAAATATATTAAAAGAAACAACAAACTTTGAATTGAAGTAGCCAGTTTTAATTTTTTTTTTTTTAATTTGCTTGACCAGGAGCCCTTCTATTTATTAAAAAAATTTTTTTGTCTTTATTGACTTTTAGAGAGAGAGAAGGAGAGAGAGAGGGAGAGAGAAACATTGATGAAAGAGAACATCTATCGGCCACCTCCTGCATGCCCCCGCACTGGGGATTGGGCCCACAACCCAGGCATGGGCCCTGACCAGGAATCGAACCAGTGACCTCCTGGTGCATGGGTCAACACTCAGCCATTTAGCCACACTGGCTGGGCAATGAGGAGCCCTTTTAAATAACACCATTTTTCTAACTGCGTTCAGGAGTCTTCTGATATCTTTTTCTCTCCCATTCTGTAGTGACAAAAATGCTGAGATTCTTCCGTAGAACACTTGGGCGTCGGTCAATGCGTAAACATGCTGAGAAGGAACGACTTCGAGAAGCTCAACGAGCTCCCACACACATTCCTGCAGCTGGAGATTCTAAGTCTATCATCACATGTCGGGTGTCCCTTCTGGATGGTACTGATGTTAGTGTGGACTTGCCGGTACGTAGGTCTCCCTGACCTGCAAATTCTGTGTGAGATCATATTCTTCATTTGAGCTTTCTCCTTGATAACTTCCTGGAGAAATAGGTAATAAGGGTTAGTATGGATCAGGCACTATAACATACAAGTACAGGTATTAGGCAACTTTAGGAACCTGGCATGAAACTATTTCTCTGCAATTAGTGGCTGTTGCCTAAGCATTTAAATGATATGGCAGTTATTGGTGTGAGTCATTTGTGTGTGTGCGTTTTTTAAAAAAAATTATTATTTTTAATTGATTTTATAGAGAGAGGAAGGGAGAGGGAGAGAGAGATAGAAACATTGATGAGAGAGAACATCAATTGGCTGCCTCCTGCCTGCCCTCCCCTGGGGATTGGGCCCCACAACCTGGGTATGTGCCCTGATCAAGTTTCGAACCAGCGACCTCTTGGTGCATGGGTCGATGCTCAGCCACTGAGCCACACCAGCTGGGCTTTTGTGTGTGTTCTTTACAGTGGCAATACATAGTGTACTCTAGTGGATTTCTCACAACACTTGTCAAGCAATTATTAAAACAGTGAGAATCTCTGGAAACCAGAATGATACTTATATGTACACTGTAAGATGTTTATTTCTCTATACTTTTCTTTAGTTTTCAAAACATTCCTCACCTTCCTCAAAACAAATATTTCCTCCACAGTTTATTTGGTATGCTTGCAGAAATTTTAATGAAATGAAGTGAGAAAAAGGACTTTCTTTATATTCGTCAGCTTTGATTGCCTATCTCTTTGCTCCTGAAGTCTTTTGCCAGGGAGGTTTTTCATACACTGTGATTTTTATTTCCAGACAGGGTGTTGTAATTATATACAAATTTTGTGTGGATTTTTTTAGTTATGAATAATCCTAGCTCACAGTATGAAACAGTCCAATATACTTGAAAGGGGTTAACTCTTACTGCTTACAGGCAGTTTTTTGTTTGTTTGTTTTTGGTACGTGCCCATAGTGGGAACCGAACCTGGGACTCTCTGGTCTGCAGGCCGACGCTCCAACCACTGAGCTAAACTGGCCAGGGCTACAGGCAGTTTTTTACTAATGCCAAATCTCTTTCTCCTGTCTTTGTTCTGCATTAGAAGATTTATATAACTAAGCTATAAAATGTGTGATTTGATGAGAGCATCACTGGATGTTTCACAATGTCTTCCCTCCCCACAGACTCTTTAGTACACACTCATTTATCCAAAATACAATGAAAAAAAAAAGTCTTTTTGTAAGGGTAATAGCTTGGTTGCTGCAATAATACATTAATTGAATAAGCTCTGGAAATCCATAAACTGAGAGTGAGAGATTAAGGAATTGGATAGTTTGTTTAAATGAATTTTGTGATTATTGAATAACTTAGAATGTACTAAGTATGTACCTTATACATTTTTAAAATAATGGAATATAAAATTAAAGACACAGGATTTCTTAAAGTGTTTTAAAATCATTGTTGTAAATATTATCTTTTCACATTACCCTGGACATTTTTAGGGTTTTTTATTTTAGAAGAATTTAAGGCATTTACATTTTCTTTCTGTAAGGGCTTGACGGTTTGTCAGACATTCCAATATGTGATACTTTGTGAGGATAGTTTTCATATTCATTTCTTATTTAATATAAGTATCTTAAGATTTTTGTGTACTATTCTATTAAAATATCATTAGATATGTGGTGAAAAGCTTTAGATTGCTGTGTAAGAGACTGGAAAGAAGTTTCTTATTACCTAATGTTTGAAGTATGAAGTCACAGGGTTGTTAATGGAGAGGCTGATACTAGGAAAGTAGAATTTGTAGGACCTTTTAAAAAAGGCAGTGTATTGTGGAGGAGAAACAGCACTAGGTTTTAAAGTAGTGGAACAAATGGCTAGTGACTGGTATAGAATGGTTTCCTATGCTTGGTATGCTCAGGAGCATGTATGTGATGCTTGGCCAAGGCCAGAAATGCAAGCTGGCCTTTCATGTAGACAATTGCAGTGAAAAAGTGAAGAGTTTTAGATATGACTCTGTGGAACTAGAACAATTACCTTTTCAGCTCTGCAGGTGAAATCTTAGAGTTAGTAAACTAACTCTACAAGTTTGCATGGATATAAAATGGGCATTGGCCTGCCAGCCAAACTGCTTTACTAAAGAAAAAATAGACCAGGGGAATATTAATTTCTGAGAAGAAAGGTCTTCCCTTTTTCTGATTTAGCTTCTCAAACAGTCTAGTATGATTCTGAAAGAAGATGATTGATTTTGGAAATTGAAGGAAGCACATCCCATTTAGGATTAGGGTCACTAGTGATTGTTGCAAGCCAGCCTGGAACTAAGATGATTGACGAAGCAATATGTAAGGGATTACATGTGATTAAATAGAGTAATTGAAGCCTGTGGACTTCAAATTAATATGTACAAGTAGTAATGGTCATTTTCTTCTTTCTGATTGCCTATGATCTCAAAATTGGGATTGGGAGATTTAAATAGTTTCTACTTTCTTTTCTTTATTTTTTTTAAAGAACAAATACAGTGTTAATGCCTTTCAGTGAATGATAAAAGCATCAGGTGGAAATTTCTATCTGATTTTAAAATTATTTCTTTGGAAATGCCACAGTAACTCCTTTGATTTATGAGTTTAGTATTATTTAGTAAATAGCCTGTCTTTTAAAACTCTATCTCCTAAGTTTTAAATTAATAGGAAATATTTCATTAATCAATAGATAATAATTTTATATACCTACTTCTTTGCTGATATAGATGCTCAAGTTTTTAAATTATATAGACCATGTATTATTATACCTTCAAATACATGAGAAAACATTTTATGTGCACAAATTGGAAGACTTAACGTTGTTAAGATGGCAATATACTCAAAACTGATCTATAGATTCAACATAATCCCTACTAGAATACCAACTGATTTATTGGTAGAATTGACAAGTTGATTTTAAAATTAATATGGAATTGCAGAGTACCTAGAATAGCCAAAACAATGTTGAAAAAGAACAAAGTAAGTATGATTTGTACTTCCCAGTTTTAAGACTTACTGTAAAGCAGTGGTAATCAAGATGATGTGCTGCTGGAAGGATAAATACACATAGATCAGTGGAACAGAATAGAGACCCTAGAAATCCATTCATACATTTATGGTTATTTGATATTTAACAGGGGTGCCAGAACTACTCAATGAAGGCAAGAATAGTTTTTTCAACAGGTGGTGTTGGGAGAACTGGATAGCCAGACGCAAAAGAATGAAGTTGGTACCTTACCTCACATCATATATAAAAATTAACTCAAGCCCTGGCCAGTTTGGCTCAGCAGTTAGAGTGTCGGTTTACAGACCAAAGAGTCTTGGGTTTGATTCCGATCAAGGGCACGTACCTTGGTTTCAGTTCGGTCCCTGGCCCTGATTGGGGTTGTGTGGGAGGCAACTAGTCGATGTGTCTCTCTCACATCGATGTTTTTCTCTGTCTCCCCCCACCCCTCTCCCTCACACTCTATCTGAAGATAAATGGGAAAATATCCTCAGGTGAGGATTAAAAAAAAAAATTAACTCAAAATGGGTCAAAGACTTAAACGTAAGAGTTAAAAACATGAAACTCTTTTTAAAAAAAATTTTTTTTTTAAAAATTCTGACCCAAGGACACTCCTGTATTTATCTTTAGATAGAGCGGGAGGGAGAGAGGGGGGAAGAAAGAGAGGGGGATACATTGAGTGGCTGCCACCCATACGACCCCAACCAGGGCCGGGGACAAACTGCAACTGAGGTACGTGCCCTTAGCAGGAACTGAACCCAGGACTCTCTGGTCCACAGGCCAATGCTCTAACTGCTGAGCCAAACAGGCCAGGGCAAAATCATAAAACTCCTAAAAGAAAATATAGGGAGCCTTGTCACCTGGCTGGTGTGACTCAGTGGATTGAGCGTCATCCCATGGACTGAGAGGTCCTGGTTCAATTTCCTGTCAGGGCACATGCCTAGGTTATGGGCTCGATCCCCAGTGGGGGGCGTATAGGAGGAAGCCAATCGATGTATCTCTCTCACATAGATGTTTCTCTCTCTCTCTAAAAAATCAACAAAAACATTTTTTTAAAAATTCTAGTCTTGTCATTTTTTAGCCTTGTAATTTTGTCATATTACTAAAGCTTTCTGAACTTTTGTCTGTTTTGTATTTGTTAAGAGGACAAATAAGCTATAGTCATTAAGATTATTGATTAAGTACTATATGTTAAAAAAAACAGAAGTGCCTACACTTAGATAGGAAACTTAAAATGATACAAATAGAGGAGAAATATTTAAGGAAATAATAGAGATTGATTTCCCAGAATTAAAAAGAGATAAAAGGCCCAGGTCGGTGTGGCTCAGTGTTTGAGCATTGACCCATGCACCAAGAGGTCACCGGTTCCATTCCCGGTCAGGGCACATTCCCAGGTTGTGGGCCAAATCCCCAGTGAGGGGCATGCAGGAGGAGTCCAATTGATGTTCTCTCTCATCAGTGTTCTTCTCTCTCTTCTCTCTCTCTCTCCCAAATCAATAAAGGAAAAAGGAAAAAAAAATTTTTTTTAATTTAAAAAAATAAAAAGAGACTAAAGACATCAGATTAAAAAGGCCCAATAGAATACCAAATGAAGTTAAGAAAAAAGCCACACCTAGACACATTATAGTGAAATTTAATAAGACTATCAGAGATAGAGAAACGTTTAAAGCTTATGCAAGAGAATAAATAATACCGGTAAGGAACAAGAGTCAAATTGACATCACATTTTTCAACAGCAATATAGACTATATGAAGATGATAGAGTAAGATATTTTGAGTATTGAAGAGATTATTGAAATAAAATAACTTTGGGCCTTGAATCCAGCCAACTCTCCTTCAAGTAGAAGAGCATGATTAACATAGGAGACTAGAAGATAAGCCATACAGAGTCCAACATGGGTAACATTTCTGAGGAAGAACTCAGAAGAGTAGAGAAACAAGTCTAGCAGATGCTACTTAGATGTTTAATATA